TAGAAAGCTGAAATTTTAGAATGTTCGGTGTCCAGACACGACCCCCAAAAATTCAACGTATGCCTATGTCCCACATAGGGCACGTGGAATTTTCTATACTCAAAAATCAGATTGACTAGGGGCTCGAATTTTTTGAGCATATTCTACACTCACATTGAATTCAAGTTTTTGAAATTCAGCTTCACATACGACTAGGTCTCACGCAAGATTGCGTGATGGTTTTGACGAAGGAATTCTGCTAACTCGAGAGCCACAACAGCTGGGAAGCTGAAATTTCAGGAGAATCTTTTCTATCTTTGATAGACCTGGCAAGCTCAAATTTAGCCCCCACATATCGCTAGTTCTCACGTACTCCCACGCGATAATTTTGACACAAAAATCATAAACTTGGAAACGAGAAGGCTAGGAAGCTGAAAGTTTGAGAAGACGTTCTCCGTCCATGTGAGATTCAAATTCAGCTTTCACGTACGTTTACGTTCCACGCATTGGTGCGTGAGATTTTTAATGGAAATTTTCGCATATTATGAACCAGACAACATATCGCCTATTTTTGCAAACAGCAAACTGTAAAACAATGAAAATTCTTGATGGGGCAAGCGTTCGCTGGACGGAACTGTGCAAAACTCATGTTCGCACCGGCTACCCCCTGTTGCACGACACTATTTATTTATTTTTTTTCTGTCAGCCGGTCATTTTTTTTCAATAGTGAACATTTAGGAGGTTGATAATTTCTGAGAGTATGCGCATATGTGTGAAATTAGTTTGTTTGTTAAGTTTTTGTCGGTGACAGTACTAATTTGGCGGGTTGTTTGACTAAGTTTTTTTTTTTTTTGTATTTCTGTGTTTAAATATTCTTGCTACCCTCCATAGTGTAGTTTAGTGTAGCTTTTTATCTTATAAAATATTAGATTCCCCCAGTGACTTGGCTTATTTTTTGATAGAAAATGGGGATTTTTTTTTTCGGTCCTACAAGTTTTAGTCTTTAGTAAACTGAAGGACTGTTGAGTTACGTTTATGCTATAAGTAATTCTGGATGAAAAGGCCTTAAAGAGCACTAAACACATAGCTGAATTTCAGTTGCATCAATAAGTCTGTGGATTAAACTTTTTGATAAAGCTTCTGTGTATCTCTGAAAATTACAAATTAATTTTATGTGGGTGATTTTTTCGCCCAATATTTTTTTTTCTCTTTTTTTTTAGGTGGGAAAGAATAGTTTTTTGATATATTTTCCTATTCTTTTGTCCTTTTGGAATGCTTCTTCTTTATATCGAGTAGTGATTGATACAGTTATTGTTAAGTTGATAATCTGTGCCATTCTGCAACACTTCTTCAGTGCTCCAGTGTTCGGTATTCCATATCACTTTGTTTTTTGGTCTTTTTTTTCGGTGAAAAACTGTCGAGCTTTCTTTCATTTTGCATTCTGCTGCTGCTTCTAATGATGATGACTGAATTGTGTTTTTTCACCTGTAAGTGATTATCCTGTTCGGAATGAAATTTAGATCGACCGATGTGTTCAGGCAACGTTTGTTCCAGTTTCCTTGTGCTGCGTAATAATATTTTTTTGAACTATTTTTTGTTCTTTTTTCAATTTATAGTTCTGTGAAATTGGTCACTAACTTAGGCAGAAGACCAAAAGTTGGCTCCATCTGGAAGAGGGAGTGGAAAGAGTGTGCCTAATGTGTTTCTTCATGACCATACAAACAGTCAGTCTCGCGACCATCTGACTGAAATACAGAGAGGAGGGGAAAGGGGGGAAAAACAACACGAGAATGCAAAATCTGGTGAGTGGCGGGGAGAGGGGTAAGGGAGGAGTGCTGCTGACTTTGTTGAGGACCGGATGGGAATGACCGGTACTGTCAAAAAAGCAAACGTTCACAGGAGTGGCTGCCCGGAGAAGGAACGATTGCTGGGACTAATCTGAGGCATGCATCCTAGGACATAGAAGGATCTGGCATAAATTTTCCCAGCGTGTGGGATTACCATCGCCTAACGTTTTTCTTTTTTTTTCCCCGGTAAAAATTTTCCAGGAAATCTTAAACGATCTGCATTCAGCAAGCAGTATTTGATAATGGAAGTCGAACGAACACTGTAAGTTACCGTTACGCATCACTCTGTGACGTTTCTGAAGATCGAGTAGCCCCTAGAGATTAATAGTAAGATGAAATAAGATATTTTAGTGTTAAAACTAACAAAATGTTGAAAAATTTTTTTAATGGTAAGAAATGTTTCGGTCCATTAAGTCGTATACATTTCTTACCTTTACCACAATTGGACCTCATCAGTACGACGATTGTGATAATTAGTATGAATTTGATAAAAATTTGAATTGTTTTGTTAGAGTGAGATAGATAAAGTAATAATAAAGTAATAATATAAGTTAAGTGGGTAATAAAGAGGGAGAGTGAGTGAAGTTGATACATAAAAAAATCTTAGTAATAATAAAGTAATAATATAAGTTGGGTGGGTAATAAAGAGGGAGAGTGAGTGAAGTTGATATATAAAAAAAAATCTTACCGTAGAGGAAGAGTTGTTGAATCCATTTCCGTTACAGATAGGTTTTTAATATCTTTAGCAATATCTTTCATATATACTGTGGATTTTAATCTTCACTATCACTTGATATTTGCTGGTGAAATAACAGTTATAATGTTGCTTAAGCATTATAGCTTACGTCTAAATACACTATTTATTTTCAGCTTTTGATTAGTATAAAAATATTCATTTTTCTGCTCGAAATGATGCCCATTTTTTTATATTTCGAATTTTTATGATTTTTAGGCCAATTTACAGTAAGGGAAGGAGCAGTGGGGACATTTTTTAACCTCTTTTTTTTTCAGGAATCCGACTTGCACTGGCACCTCAGTCTGTGCGTTAGCATATGAGGGAGGTGTTGCAGTGATGTCCGATCGTCTTGTTTCGTACGGCAAAACGGCTCGCTATCGGCATGTTACACGTCAGTATCGCGTGAACAATCATACGATCGTGGCATTCGGCGGTGATCATGCCGATTTTCAATGGTTACAAAATGTCATCGAAAGACAGGTATATTTTTGTCACTTATTTTGTAAAACTTCCCTGGAAAATTTACCATCTGTATGTGTG